CGACATGAATTCTCAAAGATCAACGTCGTCGTTGCAACACGCTGTTTATTCGCGGGGGAGTCGGGCTGCTCTTCGCCTAGCAGTTTCCTTCGTCTGTCGATCTACTGAAATTACAGTATTTCGCAGTTGCGGAACAATACGGTTTCTTGTTTCGCGGGTGTCGCGCGGGAGAGCGCCAGGAAGAATAAGTGCCGGTATAGAACGGTTCAGAAAACCAGAATCGCGCGCTGCGTCCCGGACAAAAGAGCATGCAACAGGTCAGCGAGCCGCTGCAGACATCTCTGACTACCGGCCGCGCGGGTGCGACGGAGAGGCCATGATAACCGCGGGGCGCAGCGAACAGGGTCGAGGGAGAGGGAAACGGTGGGAGAGTGAGAAAGAACGAACCGGTGAACCGAAGGTATTGCGGGAGGGAAAGAAACGGATCCGACATTGATGTAAGAACGGAACGTATTGCTTTCTTCTTACGTCGTTCGTTGTTTTTATCGCGTATCGAAGTACCCCGGCGTCGGATTGATACGACACCGCCACGCCAATATAACGTTCCTTCTTCGCACGGATAAAAACGGTTTCCGCTGATCGCTCGGATTCGATGAAAATTGAGAAGAATCGGTTCAGGAGATGTGCCCCGAGATATACGGAGTGTTTCGTTGCGTCTGGTTGACGTTTTAAGGGATGGTTTTGCAAGCTGAAATGAAAGGAAAGTAAGGAACGATGGAATTAAGAATTCAAGTGGGTCCTTGATATGTTAAAGAAGGTTTCTTTATGAGTTTTGACTATTTTCTATTGTTAAGAAGGAATTCGATGCATCTCTGTTGGATTTTTCATTATTGTCATTTGAAAACGAAGTTGAGATCGTAGTTTTTTTATTGCTTATTTCCTTTTTGTAAAATGCAAAGAAGAAGCTAGAAGCAGAAGTGTAGATTTAAATGTTATTCGAATTGTAATGAAAAGTGATAGACTTTGATAATTATTAATATCCTCAAAGTAAGTTATTTAATCATAAGCGAATTCAGAGTTTAATATTATACGAATGTGAAACTTTGTAACTTCAAAAGTTCATCGATGCAATTGCTCTTGTATAAAATTTCGTGTTCCTGTTTCGCATCGTGTCCCCACTTTTCGCGGAATCAGTCGTGGGATTTCGACTGAAAGCTATTTTCAAACAGATTTTCCCACGTCCTGTTTTTTCGGGACCGTTAATTTGAATTTCCGCACGGACGCGTCCGTATTTCGGTTTAGATTAATATCTTTAATCCGGCGCGATCGACATCGTTCTTTTTATCGTTTCGGAATTTTCGGCCTGTCGGCGGAATTACGGACGGTCCGCGGCACTATGCGCACGCGCGTTAATTAGCCATCGCAACTGTTCAGCTGGGCTTTATCTTTTTCATTGTTGGGGCTTTGATGTTTCCGGGTAACGAGCAACGAATTTGAATCTAAATAGAGCGACCGGAACAATAGATATTGCTGACATAAATTCCCGGGCGAAAATGCATCCCGATACCGGATTTAATTGCGTTTCGAGTGTATTTATCTTCAGCGACAATTGTTTTCCTTTCGCGTTCGGTACTCGGGTAAAATTTGTTCTTGGAATTCGCTCGTAATCTTTAAAATAACTCCTTTTCACTTGTATTTTATTGTGTCCTCTTCTCTACGCTATATCATACTTGCTTTTCATTTCTTTTTCGTGCCGGTCTTCCTTCTCGTGTTGTTGTATTTTTTTAAGAAGATGTACGGTTAAGTCCCGATTCTTTTGTAAGTTTCTTCGAGTTCAATGTACCGCTTGCTGAATAGGATAAATGAAAAAAGAGTATCTTTCGCTGAAAGGCCAAGCAAGTCGAAGGGAAGTGGGACGTTAAATGACAAGAATGAAACGTAGTGATTTCAGTGCCGGATCACAGTGTAGGTTCTCTTTGTTCGCTGTTACACCTGACAACGAGGATGCAACAACCGTGACGGCACCAAGGTTACATTGCGGTTCAACGCACTTCCTGTCGACAGATCTTTCTCCATCATGGGATAAACGCACATCCCTTTAGAAAACCCGGTGTTCACGTGCGTCTCTTCTTCATTATTTTACTAAACATTATTGCTAGCACGTATCTTTACGTATGGTTGTTATATACCCAACGAGTACATTCTACCAAACTTGTCTAATTACACGTAATCACGTCGTAGAAATATTAAATTGGTATTTTTATAAATTCTTTTATAACAATTAGAGCAAAGCAGAAAATTTTCTTATTCCTTCTTCTATTTCAATTAGAAGATTCCTTGTTTTCTTCAAAAAAAATTTCCTTCAAATTTACAGTTCCGCAAAAACACGAACGCGCGCAGAATTACACAGAGCGTATCCAATTTGCTTGCAAGATCTAAAAAAGAAGAACGTTCAAACGCAGTATTTCCCATTAAGGGAACCTGCGTTTCACCGAAATTAGCGAACCGAACGTTTCAATTGCCCCGACATCCCAGACGAAGATTGAAACTCATGTATCGCGGCGCGTACTTACGTATGTATATACAACCAGCGCAACTTCTGCGCGGAGTAACGGTGCACCTTAAGACAGACGCCGTTAGAGTTTCGCTGGCAAGAAGAATCTAGGAGCACGCCGCGATAACGGATCGCTCGTTCACGATGATTTTGCCTGCGCCTTTCATTCCCGGTAACCGTGTTACGAGCTGCACCGACCGGGATTCTGGCACGCGGATCACTGGGTGCAACGAGAAACCACCGTGCCGTGCTTCGGCTGTAAAATCTACTCCAACGTGCCGTTGCTCGTTCGTCCTCTTCCTCCATTTTTTTTTTCTTGTCGCTGTACAGGTGCAAATGAACGCGGTCAGCGAATAAAGGCGGCACTCGAAACGGCGTTAAATCACGGAGAGTCGTTTTTGCGTCTTTCTGGACCTGGAAACGTCAGGTTGTTACGTTCTGTCCGGTCTAGGTTACGTGCGGTCAAACAAAACTTGTGATAGAATTTGCTTTTTTCGCTTGCTCGTCGCGCACGCGAACGCGACGTTACCGTTTTATCGTGCGACGAACGAATTTTCGTCGAGTTTCATTCAGACGCGATGGCCATGACCAAACGAGACGGGCCTAATAGTGGCCCGGTGGTCGCCGGTCCGCGCGTACACACACCGGGACATTAATATTTATAACGACGCGCGACTCTTTCGCATTCCGTGGGCGAGCAGAACATCCCGGGCTGCGTGACTTTCGCGGCCAAACTACGTTTCGTTCGTCGGACATCCCTTTTGCATTTTTAATGAGCCATCATCCGTGCGCCATTCCGCTACCGCCTCCCCTCCTTGGATCGGATACGCCGTGTCTGCTAGCGAATCATCCTTCGCGCGGACATCGTTGTCACCGTAGAATTCGTGGGTGACGATTGCGTTACGCCGCTAATAATGGAAATCCATTCGCACGGGTATTTAGTGTCGTTAGCAGATGTTTTTGAAGATGTTCTCACACGTTTTCTACTGTTTGTTGGTGATTTATTATTTTACGGTTGGAGACGGCGTTAGCATGTCTGCGGGATTAATTAGTTCCTACTGATAAGCCAAATATTAGTTAAACCACAATTCTCTTGTGTAAGAGCCAACTCTTGTGCGTAGCACGGCGTCCTTTGTCGGACGCCGATACAGAGCGTTCGGAAATTGGGTCGCACGTGCAGGAGCGATTCCCGAAATCGGCGCGGCGCGTTCTTTTATCCAGGACTAACAGGACACGTCCTTCAAGGCGCAGGTGTTAATTTCCGAAAACGTCACAGCATATAGTTCTTTTGTCGGAAGCCGACATACAGTGCCCGAAAAATTGAAACACGTGCGGAAACGGTTTCGTAGAATTGTTGACGCGCCCCTGAACGCAAGGGCCCTTAAAAAGGGCGGCGATCTTCGATCGCCGCGCATTCTGAAGTCGATCGTCAGTCGCGTTCCGTCGAAAACCAGCCCGGTCATTTTAATAAATTAAATAATCATTACGCAGTGTATTTTTTGTTCGAGAAAAACTATCCTGACCGTTCCGAACTTCCACTTACACTTGTAGAAGTTTAGTATTATTTATTTTCAATATCTTTCTGCAGTTAGTTATCTTTTGGACATTTTAACAATTCATATCAATAAATATGTCTGTATAAGAAATCTCCTTCAAATTCCGGTTCAACGAATCTAAGGTAATATTTATTGAATCAAGGAAAATTTACAGTGAATTGCTTAATTTCTTTCGTTCGCCTTCTTCTTCCGTTCCTTTTTTCGAGCGAGGATTCCTGACTCCAAAGGGTTGCTGCCGTTAGTAAAACACACGGAAGGTTAAATTCAACCCGTTCGCCTGGTTACGGGAAGACCGATCACACAGACCTCACGAGAATTCTCGAATATCTGATTCTATTTAAATGCCGACGCCTGCGCCAGCTACTGTTTTCACTGGAAGCAACTATTTCGGGTAAATTACGATTCGTTAGAGGAAAGTGGTTCCGCGTAATGGATGTATAATTAAGGCAACTGTACATCAGCGTGGTACGCGCGCCACGCTACACTGAAACCTTCATCGCGTAAAAGAGTATCCGGCGATGTGCGCGCCTGCCTCCCCATGAAAATCGTGTAACACTAGGAAAAAAGGTTGATGTTTTGGGAACTTCGCGAAATCAAGGGACAAAGGGTACAGAGAGAGGAAAGAGGACAGAAGATCTTTTCGTCGTGTAATGAACAAAGTTACCGAGTTAACTCTTTACGGTTCTCTGTTGAAGCTCGACGTTTGATTTCATTCTTAACTGTTTTACTTTCTTTAATATGGTTTTCGTTATAACAATAATAACCATTTGTTTTATTATAATAACTTTTGCTATAATTATTCGTAATATATTCATATTGTACGCGACTATACCATTTTAGTGTATTTTAGATATTCTCGAGTGAATTAGAAAAGTGTTAGGAATATTACAACTCTACTTCAATTAAGCAACATTGACGTAATTTTGAAATGATTATTTTTACGACTGTACCAATTCGACGCTAGTTTTTCCTCTTCCTTGTTTCTTGAATGTTTATCGTCGCTGTCTCCGTTTCGCGCGAAACATTTCTAGCGGAACGCGGATCTTGAACCATGACTGCAGAGTTGCAGTGTCCATGGGTGGGGCCCCTCACTCCTTTTACGCTCCTTCTGACAAAGTAAAGTGGTAGAAATAAAGAATGTAATCCTCGGTTTCTCGTGTTCGACGTGGATGACATTGGATGATGTCATGCTTGAGATGTGGTATTATTAGATGTGGAAATCAGTTCAGCGTGTTTGTGAAATAGATTTGCAGTTTTTTTACAGAAACAGAAAACCTTCGAATTTTGTTAAATATTTGTCAATACTCTGTGAATTTGTTTGGAAAATAGAAAACTCTTAAGTGGAGAGATGTTTAAATTTAAAAAGATTCGTAATTAATTAAATCAAAATTGAATTAGTATTAAGCATCCTGTTTAAAGTTTCGTGTGAGATTGAACACAAGTGATTTCGAAAATTAATTTCATACACGTACCTACGTAACAAGGATGTCCATTCATACAGCAGCATATGCGACCCAATTTATTGCCCGCTGATGCGGGTTGGATTTAATAACAGCGTTTGTTGCCCACTGAACCTAACCCTCCTTTCGTTGTTTTATTTCATTTTGCTTCTATTCACAATCTTTATTTCGTGGCAAGATCTGCAGACTGTTATTTTTTATATTTTTTTTCTCTTATTTTACTACTACACTCGCTATAAGCTCAATATATATTATAAACATATTATCACTGTATTTCGAACGAAAGTAAGAATGCAAAACATTACAGTGTGCGCCAATTATTACTAATAATTTCAAGCATTCAGATAAATACCTGTTACGTGTCCGTGTTGCGGGTGCTGGTTAAGAAAAATAACACTGTTGGTAGCCGACTGCGGCCGGAAGCGATGATTCACTCCAAAGCGTCCGAGTGAAAACGCGACGACGATACATAGACTACAGAACACGTATCGCGTTGTTTCACAGGAGACCAGATTAGGTACAAAGGCACGGACGTGCGTTAACAATTGTCTCCTGAGAAGTGGTTTATCGAAACGGAAAGTGAGATAATGCGATTTCACACGTCCAACGGATATGAATAGAGTATGCGTGGCCATTCGAGAAATTCCACGTCGAATCGCGCAGGATGCTTCATGAAGTCATCAATTTTTTTAAAAATTTGTTACACTTATTGCGGTTGCATCTTAAGAAATTATAAAGTGCCAGCTCAATATGTTTTAAAATTTATTGGTTTCTTAAATTCATGAAATTCTACTATCCTCTTTACATCTGTACTGGGCAGAGAAATTTTCGAGAAATAAATATTTCTTTCGTGTTATCTTTTTAATCAGATTAAAGCAAGTATTTTTAAGGTAGCAAACACCTCGATTGTAGGTTGCAATCTACTTGCGATCTCTTTGAATTAGACGGTGGAAATTTTACAAAATATAGTTTCGTAAAAGTTACATTCGATTGTACCTTCGATTTTAGTCATCGAAGCTATGTGTAATATGATTCATTGATAGAAATTGGGTCGCAGTGTGCATTGCTAACGGGGTCAGCTTGGTCACAGTGAATGTCGTCGCACCACGCATTACCTGGCTAACGATCACCAGCTGATAATATCCATGCACCTGGCAGGTGCGCCACCTGTTATTCAGATTATTCGATATATGTCTGCGGTACGCCTGGCCGCGAGATGGCGGAACTTTCGAATTATTAATTACAATTATTTACATTAAAAATCCTGTCTCATTGCTTTGCTTCTTGCTACTGACGCCTTTGATGTGTTAAATGTCAGCTTAAAGTACTTCACTCGAACATACGTTCTCACATTCTCACGAAAATTAACAGAAAATTAATTAAAATCCTAGAAATAGATTTAGAACTTACTGAAACAAAAAATTAGACATAACTGTCGTTTTTTAAAAAGTTCTTTCGTAAAACTGTACGTTAGTGAAAGTGTCTTCATAAAAGTTCACCTTTCGCAGTCCGACTAAGTATTACACATCCTGGAAAAGCAAACTGCCTTTATTCGTGGACCGAAGACGCGCTCGAAGTCGTCAGCAGGCATGACGTAACGAAGAATTCAGAAACGTATTGCATCAGTAAACAAGAAACGCAATAGCCGCGTGAGTGCATCTCCGCGGAGACTCTCCTTTCATTCCTTCTATATGTTGCACAACTCGTCCTTTCATCTTAAGAACGGTTTATCTATGGGAAAAAACATTCCATCGATCAAATGTGATCTGTATAAGCCTCAAAGGCGAACGAATAATAATAAGCAATATTTGTTGCGTTGTGCAATTGATTCGCTCGTGATATCAGCATATTTTTTAATAACCGTTCCGCATCACGACTCGACGCAAATGATATAACGCGAATATCACGTTGCGTGAATAACTCTCACAGCGTTCGCAGTTTACCATCCTTCGTGTTTATATTTCTTGCCTCTGTGCAAGGTGAGTAATAAAACCCAGACCTATCCCAAAATATTCAAATCTTCATATTCCCTTCTACATTAACAAAAAATCAACGGACTGTATTCCAATGTTTCCGTATTCATAACATTTCTCTGCAGCTTCTCCGGTCAAATATTTCTTATACAGTTACAAAATCGATAAGGGACGTTGAAAAAATGCACAGCCCATTCGAAGGTGGAGCCATTCGCAAGAATTACCCATTTCATCATTCCCGGTCCGCGGATATCCAACGTAATGATGATTCAATCGACAGAAAGAAATGAATTCCCTGGGGCGCCATTAGCATCTAGATGGAACAACTTTAATTAGGCAACGCAACCCAATAAGCGTTCAGGATGGAGAAAAAGAGGCTCGGTTTCTTCTGCTCAGTTCGCGAAACGCGGACTACGTCTCTCTTTGGTAAATCCTCTCGATGCTTTGAGACTCGACCTCTCAGCGGCGCGTTTACCGATGTTATCCTTGTGAATGGCGGACGAAGAGGGCAACGCATGCACGCCTTGGAACCGCGAAGAGGAGCCGCGGCGGAGACACAGTGAATATTAATACGCGGCACACGGAGCAGAGAGCCCCGTCGGTAGATTTTATCGGCTCGTCTCGGCTTTCCAGCTTCCGCTTCTTCCAGGGCCCCGGCTATTACGGTCGACTGCTCGTTTACACGACACGGAGGTCCCCCGTATTCCGTTTCGCGGCCGTTGGACTCGCTCCGCTGGACCCCGGAGGAAGTACACCCACTTGACCAGATTTTCTTTCTACCCTTCGCATCCTACTCCTACCACTCCTCTTCTGTCTTTTCATAAAACGACCAGCACTAATTCTTTGTCCGCCGAAATGAGGCAGCGGCAGTCCTTTTACCGCTGCTTGGTTCGCTTGCGATCATTTATTTTTACTTATGTGCGTTTCCTGCTCCACCGATGAAAGATTTTTGGTTAATGGGGTTTGGAGGGCAAGCGTGAAGTGGATAAGAATGAAATTTGTTTAGAGAATTTATCTTTTTTGGTCTTTGTTTCGTTAAGAAGGCATTGTAGTGATTATTTAGTTTGGCGTGTTCCTCACTGATTTCGATGATTTTGACATATTGTTATATATATAACACTAAGACACACACACACACACACACACAAAATTAACAACTCTCTCCAGTGTAGTAGACTACGCCGCCGATCGTCAACTGGCCAATGACGTAAGAAGTGCAGATCTTACTATGTATAGGATGTACGTTAAAAAGAGGTACCATTGTAATAGTCGAATGGTAACAAATTTTTACAAAGTTGAAGTCTATTGCAAAAATCGATGTTTTCATCAACTTGTTCCTCTGATAAGAATAATAGCAGTTGTTATTGGAATTTACAATTCATGTGTAGTTACGAATTATAGATAATACAATATGGAATATTTTTATTTGGAAGTTCTTGTATTTTATAATAGTAATCGTATTTATTTAGGTACGCGATTTTGTATATCCTATATACGCTCCCCGAATTTCCAATTACTTTGTTACCGTTGTTAAATGCAACGAGTTGGATTAAACTTAAAGGTAATAATAGAACAGTGGTTGAAAGCCTCATTATGATAGCAGAATAGAATTGTTTATGAATATAATAGGTATTATAATTATGCAAGTGTAGTTGAATGAATAGGTTTCTCTACAGTCGTAATTAGGCGGACCATGACTTACACGAATATTGCAGAATGAAAATCCACTTGGCAGGTGAATTGTGTAAATTTGATACATTGATATCTGATACGTTCCCATACAAATTTTGCCCATTCTGTTGAAATCTGTGAGATGCGAGTATACTGAAATGGTAACAATACTGTCAGATCTTAATTATTACATAAATTGCTTTGATTTCATACTACGAAACCATTTCGATTGTCCCGAGCTAGTGTAACGTGTTCAAAAACTTCAATAGTGACCACTGTATTAAAATCATTTGTTATTTCTATTCACAACTGTTTCTTGATTATCTGCAGAGTCTCAGCAAAAGACGATTATCTGCGTGAATATTCAATGGGCAATTTCTGCGCGGTCTTAAAGAGGCACAGACAGTTCGAAAAGGCAGCCATTGAAAAGGAAATCGCGGTGAAAAACGCGAAAGACGGGGGATAGTTCAGGGGATTCCTTTTCGTAGGATGAAGGCATTCTCGCCCCGATTCCGAGTGCAATTAATCATTTTCTGTGGAAACGCGGGGACCCCGGTAACCGAAGTTTCTCGATATCCTGAAAGCTTCCCTCTGACTTCGACTTTCGAGAAAAGTTTTTGCGCCGGTCCCGTGTCCCACTCTCCCCACCGCAGCACCGACTCCTTTCGGCTTTTATATCCCCGACGGATGGAACCTAATCTGCACTTGTCGAGATATCAGCAGCGAGTCACCGTTAATTCTATTTTCTATCATCGGATCCCTGGGATTGTAATTATTGGAACATCACGGTCCCCGATTATTTGTGTCGAGCGTAAGAGAAGTGATAACAGGGGGAAGAAGGGGGTCGCCGAGACAGTAATAGGGGCGCGAGTAATTGAATAGAATTGAATCGGAGCACGATAAAAATTCTTCAATTTATCATCGCTATCGTCCACAGAGGAAAGTTCCACGATCCGATAAAACTTCCATAAAATTGGAAATGTTACCGTTAATGCGATCTTCGAACTTTTTAATTCGCCCGACGAAATAACGGGCCGTGCCCTCCTTCCCCATACCCGCCCGTTCGTTCTTCTATAAACTTCAATCTCCGGGCGCAAACATCGGCCGCGGACGTCGAATGTACTTTTCAAAATTCAATCTCCCTTCTTTGCCGCCGCTAACTGCTTATTTTCCGTCGTTTTTCTTGTTCCAGGTATGGTCCGACGCGTGTATCGTCAGCCTCCACGGGCCGTTTCGCCTGAAACCGGGATCTCGAAGAGCGCAATCTACCCGTGATATACGTGAAAAGTCTATATACGTTTACGGAAGCGCGCAGCTTGAACTCTTAAAACGGTTTCCGGCCGTTTAAAGTTTAAACACTTCGTAAGTTCTTTCTTCCTCTTTGTCTCCACTTCATAATTCATGTGACGCTTCAAAACTCGACGTCGCGGGGGCCCCGGCTATCGCGCCCGCTTTTTTGTCCCCGCGTGATCTTCCTTCGTTTTTCTTTCCGCCGTTTGCCGCGGAAGTGGATATCAAAGGATTAGCCTTCCCTTTCTTGACCCGTTTCCGTCTTTCGCTTTGCGGTTACGTCGCTTCCATACCTCCGCGCGCCGTATTTTCAATTGCTTTTCATCTTTTATGTCCGAAGCTTGCGTATGCCCCGCGATATCATCGTGTCACTTTTTATGCGGTGTTACTTTCACTGCGATCGTAAATGTCGTTAATAGGCTGCAGTTTTTCCGAAAGGGACGAAGCGAGATAAGATAACTTTTTGTACCCAGTTTCACGGTTCAATCTTCATCGAGGGGATATGTTCTAAGTTTATCTAATTTTAAAAT